TGTCCATTTTTCACACAAATTTATAAAACAAGAAAGCCAAACTATAAGTTTATTTTTGGTAATTTTGAATTCAGTTTCTCTGAGAAATATGGATTTACTTATTTTATAAAAGGTAGGCTATTAAAATTTGAATTCAAAGGCTAATTAAAATATGGAATTAGATTAAGACACTTATCCCAAATACTGAGATTTTGTCAAAAATGATTTTATTTTACTATAAAGCTTGCTTTGTTTCTTTTTTTTTTTTTTGGTAGGGGTTTTTGCCTTAAGATGTCAGAAGTTCCCCAGAGATAGATAGACAGAGACAGAGGGAAAGTGAAAAATCATCCCTCTGGGGGGATGGCCACACCACAATCCCTTGTCCTCCATTCACCTCCTGGATCTGGAGTACATACACACACGTGCCTGGTATGAGTTTCAAGCCACCAGGTCTGAGACTTGAACCGCAGTTAGCCATGTGGGAATCCAGCAACATAATCTCTACAAAGTAACCTCTAACCATCTGCTGGCCCCCAAAGCTTTTTTAATTATTGTGGAACATAAACTTTTCTTCAGTGTAATTTAGGTGTTAAAGTACTCCACTGAATTCTAATCTCTGAAAATGTTGATCTGTGTGTTGTGTCTGATAACTTTCTGAAGTTGAAATTTTATTACCTATTTTTTATTGCAGACTAGGTTAAATCCAACCAAATGGACACATCATTTTTAAAAGTAAATTTCTTCTCCTGATCTTAATAATAATGTCAAGCATCAGAGGCTTAGTAGCTAGCATTTGTCTGTAATCACATGATTTTAAATAAGATCGAATTATGTTTAGGTTAGGTTTTCATGTGCAGTGTATTTTATTAAATTCTTCGACTGCTTTCTCTCTTATGAACTGATAGAGGATTTTTTAAAAAAAGGTGGGTCTGGGACCAGCAATTGGTGTACTGGCTGCGTCACTGGACTCCCATGTAGTCGACCACAGTTCAAGTCCCAGACCTGGTGGCTTAACCTCATGCTGGGCACGTGTGCGTGCATGCCCAAGATCCCGAGAGGAGAATGGAGGAGAAGGGATTGCAGTGTGGCCATCCCCTCTGGGGGGTGATTTCTCGCTTTCTGTCACTCTCTGTCTGTCTGGTGAGCACACGTGTCCTATAGCAATAACCTCTCCAAAAAATAAAAAACTTAAGTAGTATTTCAGTCATTTAAATGTTTTTCATCTTAAAACTCAAGACTTTTCAAAACCTATTGACCTATTGTTTTTCACCTTAAAACTCAAGACTTCAAAACCTAGTGACCTACATTTTCTCCAGGAAATAGGTAGTATTAAATTAATTTGTACTCACTTTAGATAGCTAGATAATTCAGAAAATATGGTTACATGGCTATGTATTTAGAGATGTTTGCTATAGAGTGCACGTGCTTGCTAGAGACAGGTGAGAAATCACCCCTCCCAGAGGGGATGGCCACACTGACTGCAGACCCTTCTCTTTCATTCTCCTCTCAGGATTTTGGGCACACATGCACATGCACCTGGTGTAAGTTTCAAGCCACTGGGTCCAGAACTACAGTTGGCCACATGGGATTTCAGCAACAGAACCAGTATGCCATATACTAGTCCCAACATAGCTATTTATAAGTCAAGTTTAACTAGCTTTAGAACAGTACTTCTACACTAAGAAAAATATAACATGAACCACATAGTTAATTTAAAATTTTCTAGAAGCTAGATTTAAAAACAAAAACATGAAATTAATGTTTTTCTTCTCTCTCTCCCCCCCCTTTTTTTTTTTTTTTTTAAGTTTTTCTAAAAGGCGCATGCAGTCACCAGAGAGCAAGAGATTCCCCCCCAAGATGGGTGGTTATGCCAGATCCTTTCTCTGTTCTCTCCTTGAGATTTTGCGCATGCACACACACATGCTCTGCATTTTTGTTTGTTTTTTTTTAGGTTTTTATCATAGGGCGCATGTGTTTGCCAGAGAGACAAAGACAGAGTAACCGAGAGAGAGAAAGTGAGAAATCGGCCCCTAGGGAGATAGCCACACAGCAGTCCCTTTTCCTCCATTTTCCTCTAGGAATTTTGGGCGCACACACACATGCCCGGCATGATTTTTAAGCCACCGAGTCCCAGGCTTGAACTACAGTTGGCTGTAATGGGAGTCTAGCACCTTAGCCACTTGCACCATCTGCTGACCCCAGTTCAGCATATTTTTCAAGGGGCTAGGTTTCTCACTTTATCTGTCTCTATCTCTCTGGCAAGTGTACACACCCTACAGCAAAAAGTAATAATAATAATGAACATTTCAGATCATTGTATTGGGTCATTGGAAAAGTCAGGACACATTTTTGCATAGAAAAACATGAAAAAATACATCAAAACTTTGACAGCCCAATAGTATGATAAAATGGCTCCTGGACAAAATTTTTTCTATCATCTTAGTGTTCAAAGGATAAAAGCAGTATTTTTTTTTAACTTTATTTATTTATTTGTTTGTTTATTTCAATTTGACCAGAGAGGGACAGAGAGAGAAAGTAAAAAAGCAAGCTGCCAGGTCTGGAACTCAAGCCATGTGGGAATCCAGCACCTCTCTAATCACCACACCACCTGCTGGTCCCAAAAGCAGTATTATAACAA